CTTGGTGAAGAAATCTCTGTGAATTGAATGGCTCCCTGCTTGAAAACGCACACTCTCTCTCTCTCTCTCACCCTGAGGACTCAGTGAACAATTGTTTCATTCTCCTCTCAGCATAATTCCAAATCTTTTCATGCCCTTTAACCCATCTGGCTGTCAAGATCTACAAGAAAAACAGATTAACACCAGAAATGGATCCTTGCTTATTTATTTATTTATCCCCCGCCTTGTTCCAGATAGGATTTTACGTGGCTTGCCCAGAGTGACAATACAGCCAGATAACATCGTCCCTGAATTCCGCAGCAGGGCATACAAAGTCCTTTGTGAGCTGCCCCTATCTGTCTCCCCAGCACCATCCCCTGCTACCTTGCCACGTGAACATACATTCTGGCAACGCTGCACTACCTTTAGTTACCAGAAGTTTTCACTGCGTTTTCTCTCATGCTTTTGAGGCTTTTTATATGCTGTCCCCTCTGCCTGAAATGCCCTTTCTTAGTCGGTTCTACTCCTCTTTAAGCTGGAGTTCAAGCATCATCTGCTCCCTGACCACCCAGAGGCCAACTTATACACGCCTCTCTATGCTCACTCATCACTTCAAAGTGTATGGTTCCCCCTCTAAACCGACGTTCCATGAAGATATGGGGCCTTCTCTTTCCAGCTACATATCCTCATGCTTAAGACAGTACTAGACACGTGGTAGGTGCCAGATAAATATTCCTCGGTTGAATGAATGAAATCTGGCATCATCTTCACAATGTAAGGTCTGCACTGGCTGTGTCCATGTCATCAGAGCAAGGTGCTGGGGGAGCCTGTGAGGGATGCTTCCGGCGATGTGGTGATGGCTGTTCTGTCACATCTGTTTCTAGGAACGCCGTGGAGGCAGCCTGGACATAAACGACAGGCACTGTGGCATGGGCAACAGCAGCGAAATGAATGCCGCCCTCATGCAACGGAGACACACAGACCCCGTGCAACTCCAAGCAGCCGGGGTATGTGAACTTCCCTCTCCGGGCTCAGTGGAGGAGGCCAAGGGGCCAAGTAGAGAAACGGTTGGTCCTCCATGAGAGACCGGGAGAGACCAGTCTCTCTCCACTGGAGACTGTGTGTCAAACTGCGCACAGAGGGGGTGGGAACCCAGCGAGTGACGGTGGGGCAGGAGTTCCCCGTAGAGCTGATCCCAGCTGGCACCATCCAGCCTGCTGTTCTCAGTTTGGCTGTCGGGCCTTGCCCGATCCTCATAATTCCTGACTGCAATTCAGGAAGAATTCAGAGGGAGATACGTTGCGCTGGCATCAAGGGCTGTTAGCCTGGGCACACTGCGTTCTGTTTGTCACTTGAAGAACATAAAAAGAACACCTATTCATGTAGAGAGAGTAGTTCTCAAGGATCCTCTTGGAGCCTTGGAGAATAACATCTCAGTTGCTCAGAGCTGTGCATCCGGGTCTGCTTTCAGTTGCAATGGGGCTTGAAATGTCTCTGGAGAGCCATCCGTCAGCCTTCAGGGCAGGCAGCTCACCGAGAGCTTTGTCTTGGTACCAGGGCCCGCAGATCCTCTTCCGTGTGCCCGTGGCTCAGAAGGCAGCTCGGCCGCGGCCCCAGCTCAGCAGGACCTCTCTGTGTCTTCCCGCAGCAGCGAGTGCGGTGGGCCCGGGCGCTGTACGACTTTGAGGCTCTCGAAGATGATGAGCTGGGATTCCACTGCGGAGAGGTGGTTGAGGTCCTGGACAGCTCCAACCCATCCTGGTGGACTGGCCGCCTGCACAACAAGCTGGGCCTCTTCCCTGCCAACTATGTGGCACCCATGATCCGGTGAGGCCCTTCTGGAGGGGTCAGAAGCTTTTGTCTGAAGCTGCCTGCAAGTGATGGAACAAGGAAGAAAATCTGGAACTACACATACATATATGTGTGTGTGTATATATACATATGCACACACGTATATATGCCTATGTATCCACACATTTATATTAGTAATTTATTGGCAAGTTAGTTGGTTACTAAGTTGATAGGAAAGGAGCTCAGGTGGAGAATTATATTCATACTTATCTTTCTGCTCCCCTCAGCGGGTGTGCAGAAGACAGTGGGGGCGCTGGGAAGTGGGAGGCAGGGAAATGACACCGACATGCCTCCTGCCCTTAAGCCGGCACTGCTCCCTCCTCGTCTTGGAAATTCTGACTGAGAGGACCCAAGCGGGATCCACACCTGGTGTTGGACGCGGAAAAGCAGGGTGGGGTTGGACTTGGCGGGGCCTGTTCTCCTTTACCTGCATGTCCGGCTTCCCGCCCCCTCCGAGGGTGTGCGGGGGCTGCTGCCCCCCTCTCCCCGCGGGCTGGGCACTGCTGGGTGGAGGACGAAGGCGCCGCTGGGGGCTGGGAGCGGGAGGGGAGGGGAGGGGAGGGCCGGAGCAGGGGCGTCCCAGGGCCTGGGCAAGACTAGTCCGCTGGCAGATGCGCGCCCGAGACCTTCCTCTCTCTCAAGCAAACATTCCCCAGCTAATTCTTTTCCCTGTGGCTGAGGTGGAGAAATGGAGGCCCTGTGAGAACCAAGCACTGGGAAGCGGAGGGGTTTTTCACAAATCCCCCACGGGCTTACTCGAGTGTAACATCTGTTTCCCCAGCAACCAAGAAAGCAGCATCCTAGACTCTGTAAAGCGCCCAGAGAAGCCCCGGCTGAGAATGGCAGATTTCAGAGCCACTGTTTTATGGTTACAGGGGTGTCTCTTCAGGGCTCTATTTGTTTTCCCTCTTGGTTTCCTGTGTTTTGAAGATGCTTTGCCCAGCAACACAGAGAGAAGCCCACTCCTCAAGAGCACTGCTTAGCGACTGATCGATTGATTCATTGGCCATGACCCTGGGTGGCAGCTGGCTTGGAGAGAGCTTCCTGTTCCCTCCGACGGTTGGGCCACCGCTGGCGCCTCCCCGCCCCACGAGCTGCACCTGGGAAGGAACCCCACGGCCACTGTTTCTCCTTCACCTCAAAACAGACTCTTGTCTCCCAGGGCTCAGGCTGGGAACGTGAAGCGCAGATCAGGCTTGCCGGGGGGCAGGACACTGGAGAAGGAAGCTCAGTGTCATAGGGGAGCCAGAACAAACAGGTCCACCCCGAGGGCGTCAAGGAGGGGTGGTGGGCGGGTATACGGAGACCAGAAGGAAAGGGCTCGGGTAGAAGTGTTGGTGAGGGAGTTCCGGGGTGGGTGGGGAACTGTTGCTTTGTCTTCTTCCGGGCCCTTCCTGCTCTGAGGAGGGACGGGGCAGCCATCACCCAAGGTGACGTAAGAAGAAAGAGTTTCTGACTCAGAAGTAACTGTCAGTGTAACTAGGCTATGGCCTGTTGACTCTGAAATCTGCCATTCTCTGATCCCCATGTCGCCTTTAGAGAAAAAGAGAAAAAGAAAAGACTCTGTGGTGGGTCTTGGGAGGGAAGAGAAAATAGCCTGAGAGGCAGGGGGAGTCCAGCGAGTGAGGAGGGGTCTCTGGAAGTGAAAGCGCAGGAGGGAGAAGGGAGCGGAGACATTTCAGAAGATCCAGGAGCAGCGTGAGAGGCCGAAGGGAGGAAAAGGGAGGAGGTGAAGTGGGGCAGGTGAGGAAGACACTGGAGTGACAAGTTGGGGGCAGATGAGGCACAGGCAGGAGGGACAGAGGCTGCTGGGCAGGACGAACCTGGACAGAGGAGACACTGCAGGAACCAAGGCAAAAGAACAAAGGCCAAGGAGCCCGGATAAGCTCTTTCGGTGCTGGGTGATGTGAACAGGTTACAGTAAATAAAAGCCAAAGTAATGTTTGATTTTACAGTATTTACAAACCATATGCTTTCAGCGGTCCACGAACTTGGTCCATTTGTCTGATTCTGTGGGAGGACCAGCCCCAGGGAAGACAGAGGGAAACGACTGGGTTCTGGCCTGGGTTTTGTGCCTTGAAACACTCCTCAAGAAAGCAGTAATAAAACAAGTGCCTTTGTTTTGCTGGGCTGGGTCTGGTGTCTGTGTCACACGCCTCTCTGGCGGAGGGCGGGGGACACTGGCCTGGAGAAGCTGACCACGCAGTGTGGGCATAGCTCTCAGAACCCCTGGATCTGGACTTCCTGTTCCACCAGAGCTTTTAATTGAGGTGCTCAAACAGCCTCATCCCTGCTCATCTTGAGGCTCAATCCAGAAGGAATTGAGAGTCATCCTAACCACCCGCAGAGAACAAGGGCCCTCGGGGACCAGACTAAGAGGACAAGGACCACGCTGTCCACACTGTCGGGGGAGGGGAGGCTGACCCTCCTTGGCCTCTGGTGCTGCCCAGGGGAAGTTGCCCTCCACCCAAGGGCATTTCAGCACCAGGGGCGGGTCCCCCCAGGGCCTCTCACCAACCACACAACCAGGAAACAACACATTGTCTCTGAATTCGGTTGAATGAATCACTCTGCATGACTTGGGGGCCACCTGGAACTTCCAGAGAAAATCCGGTTCCTGTTGGACAAGTTCAGTCTCCCTAACCGCTTGCTGAGGCTCGCAGCATTTCAAATATCTTGTACCTGCCACTGCCCACCCACTTTTAGATGGCCCTAGGGTGACCCGAGGCAGCGCTTTTCTCAAAATGAACCTGCCTATGAATTGCCTGGGGAGTGTGTTCAAATGCGGAGTCTGGTTCAGTCCTGCAAGTCTATCAAGCTCTGAGGTGATGTTGCTGGGTCCGCAGACCACACCTGAGTAGCAAGGGTGAAGAACTTGGCAGTGAGCTAACTGTCTACGAAAATCTGATTGAATCTCTCTTCTAGGGATGTTTAGGCGGTTTTCTCTGTTGCTAACAAGTAAGTCACTTTGGCCGTGGGATAGACAGACATGATTCAGAGCTGTCATAACATCATTTGCGTTTAGCAGCCCAGACTTCTTATTTTAGCATCTTCATCTCCATCTCAAATCAAGAAACTTTAGGGCAAGAGGCATTCGGATGAAATACACACAGGGATTTCCTAACAGTAATTATGGTAAACACGAGCAGAGGTTAGAGAAGTTGTGAAAGCTTTCTCAGGAAATCCTTAAACTCCCATCAGCTGTGATCCTGCTTGGAGGCTATCCGGGGGGATAGCCCTGTGACGTCATCAGATCTCGGGTAACTCAAAGCAAAACAGGCCACGTGTGGGACAGAATGGCGTGGTCAAAATATTTGCTGTTTGCTTTGTCTAAAGTTGGCCTGTCTATACCAAGGCAAGAAGCTAGGGAAAAACTGTCATCTCTTCTCTTAAATACTCCTTAGACTCCTCCATTTCTTTCTATAACCACAGCCATGCCACCATCATCTCTCCCTTAGGCAGCTGAATTCACCCCCACCCTTTTCTCCCTGCATGCCCTCTTGGCCTCAATTCATTCTCCACACATTCTCCAATGTGAATCTGAAGGCACCACTCCCCTGCCCACTGCACTTAGGTTTAAATCCAAAGTCCTAATGTGGCCCTGTGAGGTGTGGCCCCTCCCTCCCTCCCCAGCCTCCTCTGGTTCCTCTCTCCTCCTTGCTTTCATGCCCCTGACCCACTGGCCTTCTTTCAGCCTCCAGATGACCAAGGATTTGTCCCCACACCTTTCACACCTGCTGTTCCCTCTACCTGGAATGCATATCCCTGCTCTTCACCTGGCTCACTCCTATACATCTCCAGGTCTTGGTTTAAATGTCACTTTCTCAGATTGTCCTTTCCTGACCTCTAATCTAAAATAATCCTTCCCGGGATTTCCCTGGTGGTCCAGTGGTTAGGACTCTGTGCTTTCACTGCCGAGGGCCTGGGTTCAATCCCTGGTCGGGGAACTAAGATCCCCCAAACCACGTGCTGCAGCCAAAAAATAATAATAATAATCCTTCCCGTTAGACTATCTCGTGGTTCCCGGTACTTTTCCTGAATAGCACATATACAGGTGATGGTGCCAGACTGATTACTATGACTATTAGATGGTAAGCCCCCTGGTGACAGCATTGTCTCTGTTTTGTAAACCATTGTACACCCAGCATCTAGCACGATTCATGGCACACCCAGGTTCGATAAATATTTGTTTAATGAATGAACAAGTGAGAACTGCCTCATCTTACTTATCATTCATTCTGTAACCCAAATGTCCCAGGCCTTACAGACCCATAGGTACAAACAAGGTGATATTAACATTGATGCCCAAGTTATAGTAGCTCTTAGCCATCTGCCCTCAAAATCTCCAGTTACTTCTGGAAGCCCAAGAGACAGAGGCTGGTGTCTCTCATGTGTTTAAGCACCAGTCTGCTTGTGTCTCCTACTCTGGCCATGTTCAGTTGCCCAGGACACCCTCTGCTGAGAGCGTCTCCCCTGATGCTGTAGATGCCCCGTGCATTGCATCTGTCTGCTGGTGAAATGGGCCGATCCTTCAGGAAACCAAATCTGCTCCACAGTCCATGTGGCAAGGGGTGTGGGGGGAGAATAGCCTGCGCCCAACTCTGAGTAGCTCTTGTCCCTGGGCCCCAGAGAGGCACTGCTTGGGTCCAGGGTCCCTCACAGCTTGTTCCCTTCTCACCGGAGCCCTCTCTGCATCAGACAGGATAGGGATGCCACCTGCCCCGTCATCTCTCTTTTCTGTCTCTCTCCCTATTGCCCCTTTTTCTTTCAGCTGAAAAAAATGCCCCTGTACCTCTGTACCTCTTCAGTTGTGCAATAGGGTCCCAGGGGCTCTGCACCCAAGTTGTACAGTCTGGGCTTGGTTATAATTCATTCATTAAATCAACAAATACTTACAAAGCACGCCTAGGGGCCACACACAGTCAGCCATTGGGTCCTTTCCATCTGTCGACCCTACCTGTCTTTGCACCTGTGCCACAATCCTTGCCTCATTTAAAACTTCCCTCTCTTCCCTCCCAGGTGATTGCCATGGTCTCAGAACTGGCCTCCCTGCCTACTGGCTGGCCCCCTCAATCCAGACTGCCAAGGAGAGCTTATTAATATGCAAAGCTGATGACATCAGGCTTCTGTTAAAGCCTTCAGGGCCTCCCCA